TTCACTCTCCATGCCGATCATGTTCTAGGAGTGTCCAACGTCCTTGCCACTGGTCTATCCCATTTCTGTCTCCTTTCCATTGGGTGGATTGTCAATGTTTCTTCCTTCCTCTGGCTCTTAAGGCCTTCGGGTTCCGGATCTTGGCCTTTCGCTCAGCTGGGCCTTTTCTTCATTTGCTGCTGGTTCCTCCTTTCCTGATGGGGACTGGGTTGGTTGGCCTCCAGAGGGGTCATTGAGGTTCATAGGTTCAGCCAGGGGTGCCTTGCCTGTTGTCAGGTGACGGCTTGCTCTACACCATTTGTGCCGCCAATTCTGCCTATTTAAAACCAGCATCGAATGTTATGAAATGAAAATTTTTGGGTGAACCCTGGTGGCTCCCTGACATCCTACCTCAGAGAGTTGGGTTTCTTACATCATTCATCGAACTGATGGTGAAGCAACCTGTGAGCTGTGGCCTGCCCCCCTCCTCCCTCCTAAATAGTGGGGCAAACAAGCACGTGCTAGCTTATAAACAATTTTATTGTTTGTTTATATGGTTTGGAGAGTTTTATGGCCGTTTTCATGTCTGCAGGTCTCTGAGGCAGTCAGCTGTGATTTATTTTGTCTTGGTGACTTTCTGGGTGCTTTTCTCGGCCGTAGCATAAATGAATAAGTGCCATACTTCCCTGTGCCTCTGTAAAGGGGCCAGGTTCTGGCTCTGGGTCCCTGATAGGCCAGAGAAATTTGACTGATAACAGCTCGTAGACGACACTTACATCGGAGATGGCATTTTGGATGGCGATAGCAGCTTCAGGAAGCCACCTGGGGGTCTGCCCCTTCCATGTTCGATAGGGAGGATAGTCGAGCTGATGTTCTGTTGTCTTCAGCTTCTCTGGATGGTGTACTTTCAGGTTCAATTTGTATGTCTCAGGGAAGATGCTTTTATGTACACTGTCTGGTGTAGTTCATAGCTCTGCTTCAGGAGGCTTCATTTTTAGAACTTCCAAAGCCAAGGGAGAAGCATAGGGCAGGTTCTGGAATGCACTACCTCCTTCTGGAATGTACCTGGAAAGAGTTCTGGGAGTTGTTTTACTCCCCAAGCCCAGCTCGAGTCCAGGCTTAACTTGAGAGAGCTTGGTCCAACAGACTGTTGCTTGGAGTGGCCCCGCAAGCCCACATATCCACCACAGCCCGGTTGGTCCAGCACTTCTTGAAGAAAACTATCCAGTTTTCTCTTGAAAACGTCCATGTTTGTTCCGACAATATTTCTTATGCTCGCTGGGAATATGTTGAACAACCGTGGACCTCTGATGTTTATAGTGTTCTCCGCATGTGTCTATGGTACCCCTGCTCTTCACTGGTTCTATTCTGCATTTTCTTTCATATCGTTCACTCCAGTATGTTGTTATTTTACTGTGTAGATTTGGTACCTGCTCCTCCAGTATTTTCCACGTGTATTTTATTTGATATCTCTCTCGTCTTGTGAGTACATTTGGAAAGCTCTTAGACGATCCCAATAATTTAGGTGCTTTATTGCATCTATGCATGCCATATATGTTCTCTGTATTCCCTCTATTTCTGCAATCTCTCCTGCTCTGAAGGGGGAAGTGAATACTGAGCAGTACTCAAGATGGGAAAGCACAAGTGATTTGAATAGTATAACCATTGTGATGGGATCCCTGGATTTGAAAGTTCTCATAATCCATCCTATCATTTTTCTGGCTAACGCAATATTTGCTTGGTTATGCTCCCTAAACGTTAGGTTGTCAGACATCGTTATTCCCAAATCCTTAACATGTTGCTTTCCTACTATGGGCAGATTTGATTGTGTTTTGTACCCTGTATCGGGTTTAAGGTTCTCATTTTTACCTCACCTGAGTACCTGGAATTTATCACTATTAAACATGTTATTTTCTGCTGCCCAGTCTAAAACTTTATTATTATCTGCTTATAGTTTTCTATGTCTTCCACAGTGGTAATTTTCATGCTGATCTTTGTGTCATCTGCAAAGGACAACATGAAGCTGTGACTTGCATTTTTGTCTATATCTGATATGAGAATAAGGAAAAGCAGTGGTGCAAGGACTGTTCTCCGAGGTACAGTGCTTTTAACTGCACTTGGACTCTATTTTATTTGTTTGACTGTTACTCTGTTTGACAGGAAATTGAGTATCCACCATCCTACTTTACCAGTTATTCCCGTTGACCTCATTTTGTGTGCTATCACTCCATTGCTCTTTGTTTCCTCTGTGCTCCTCCATATGTAGTTTCTGGGTGCCATTAAGTTTCCTGGTTTCATCCCCTTTCTGGGTGTTTTCATTCTGGGGTTCAGGTTCCTGTTAAGTTTTGGATTCCATTCCTCGTCCTGACTTCCAGACATCCCATTTTTAGGGGTGTTGTCACCCTGCTTCAGTTCCCAGGCCATTTTTAGGGTGCCCTGCCCTGAGTGGGAGGTGGCAGCTTTTGGTTCCCTTATGATGTTTGACTTTTCATCTTGCTCCTTTTTGGGTGCCGGGCTCTGTGGGAGCCTTTATTACCTGTCTATGGTCTGGCTACCAGCAGTTGTGTACTGGTTCTTGATGGCCCACTGGGTTTTTTGTTGTGCTCTATTTTCTCAGGTTTAATTTCAGTGTAGTTCCTTACCTTAATTTGCATCCCTTTTCTTTTCCTCACTTGTTTTTTAGATGGTCGTGGCTTTTCTTGTTTATTCAACAGCAGTTTGGTCTTGGTGGCCTCTTTGCGAGGCATTTTATTGTCGAGGTTAGTTTTACCAGGGTTCAGTCCTCACCATTTTTTGTTGGGGTAGACCTTCAGTGGTGCTCTTTTTTTTTCTTGTGGTTTGCCTCTTGACAATGCTCTGTTGGGAGGGGGAGGGGGAAGCCTTGCCTGGGTCTAGCTTTTTTGGCTTTGTGACACTTGGGCAAATTTGTTGATATCCTTTCATCTTGGGAAAAGGGAAGTGAGAGTCTTTGCTCCTCTCCACCTCCCTTCTCTGGTTTTGTTTCTTTGGTCTGGGGCTGGCCTTTCCTCAGCAGTTCTGTTTGGGCTTTGTAAGTAGGTCAGATGCTTGGCAATTCAGTTTTACTTCTGTTCTCAGTGGGTTCCCAGTCTGTTTTCATCCCGCTTTGGTCTCTAGCCCTGTAGCCAGGTTTTTGTTTTTCTCTGACTGCTTTTTTCACAGCCTTGTGGGCAGCTGTGAGCTGCCTTTTGCCCATCCCTGTTTTTTTGGCTGGGTTTTTGCTTATTTTTGTCAGGGCATTCTTGCTTGCCAGTTGGGATTTTTTTCCTTTCTTATTTTGTATTTATTTTATTTATTTATACTGTAAAAGAGTTCTTACATTCTTCTAGAGCCACTAGCATGCGTAGCGTTTCGGGAAAGTCCATAATCCTATGTTCCCCGGACTACGACCCACCAAATCATGGTTCGTTAAATGCCAGGAGAGTGTCTTACCACTACACCACTGAGACTGGTTTTGACAAGGGGACTGGGATCGGGTACTTTGGCTTCTTCTGGTTCCTCAGTCTTTTGACATGAGGTGTTGATTCATCTTTTAAGTGTAGCACTTCCAATTCTGGCCTGCCATGACAGCTGGCTAGTTTGGGTCATCAAGCCTGTTTGTCTTGAGTCATCCACAGTGTTATCATGTCTGTAAGATTGCAGCTCTATCCGTGGTACCTTCAAGTATGTCTTCAGGCTCTCAGAGTTTGGTGGTCCGACAGTTTTCAGGTGGCTTGTTCCTATGTGAAAGTTCTTGGCCTGTGCTGGGCTTCTGTGATTTTGGGGTGGTTATCTTGTTGCCACTTCTCTCATTAATAGGGAGTTCCTAACTGTGACTTCTCTACCCCCTGGTGTTTCCCTTCCCTTTTGTTTTGTTCTCCATGGCAACATATCAAGAAGCCACCACAGGAGCCCTCCCAGAAATCCAGCAACATTGAATTTAATGAAACTAATCTTTCTGGTCGAGCCTTGGTGGCTCCTTGGACCCTCTCAACCAAAGCCCTTGAAAAGGATTTCATCTTCCTTGCAAAATGACTGAATTAGGCATGTGACCAACTTTTTGTGCACAAGTGTCATTAACAAATGAACTGCTTCATGACCAGGCACTTTACTCTATTTGGGATATCATTTTCTCGCTTCTTGGATTTGTTTACCATGCAGATTGTTTTGGTTCATCCATGTTTCTGGTGTCCTTTTCTTGTTTAGGCCGATCTTGTATTCTCTGCTCCTTGTACCTATATAGAGGGAAGCCAGGTTCTGGTGTCTGGTCCTTGGTAGGCTTTGTAAGGGCTGGATTGAATTGGTTGCATCTATCCACCCAGAAAGAAGCGTTTCATTTCATTCAACACTGGGTTTGATTATAACTCATTTTTTACCATGTCATTATGGAAAGTTGAAGTGTCATCAGCACTTGATAAAAATATCAAGGGGAGGTATGATTGAATATACAGTAGTTCAGAGCCCTTAAGCTACTTGGTGCTGGAGTAGGTTATTGTGATTTATGGTATCAAAGGCTTTGGTTTTCAGCGCTTGCCACTTAACCCATTCAATTTTGTTGTCACAGTTTTATATAGAGCATGACAATTCAATTTCTTTGAGCATGACATCGCAACACTTGTGTACATGTCTTGCAGGAATTTCCATACATTAGGTATATAATATACCATTGTCTATATCCCCCAATCTGTTGCTGTGAGTGTGAAAGGCAACAGGTACTGTTGTTTATTATCTTTTATCATATCCCATAAGATCAGTGCTGACTGTATATTTGTATATAGTATAGGCAAGTCTTGCATTATCCTTATACAGTACTTCATAAGTATTAATGAATATTTATGTGAGGGCAGTTGCAGAGTAAAATATTAATTAGCTGTATCAAGTCAGACTGACTTCCTGTTCAAATTAAAGTTTGTTTCAAAATTAATGGTTTTAAAAGATACATCAAATAAGCGAATGTTTCAATACTGAACAATACATATTTTTTTTTTACAATACAATTTAACAAACACCAGAAAATCTCTTACCTAGAGTCATTTTCAGCGTGGATGATCGTACGTTCCTTGTAGTAGATCTCTTCCTCTTCCTGGTCGCACAATAGCAGTACTACAGCCCCAAACAAGAAGATGGCAGCTCCCCAGCCTACTCCATATGCCCAGCCAAACTCCCACAGTGTGCGATTTCCTGTAAAGTAATACAGTAGTAAAAGTACGAGAGCTCTCATGATATGGAAAACACTCATTTGATATAGGATGCCATTTAAAGTTATTTTTGGGGTCATCTCAGTATTGGGGTCCCAGTGTTGGGGTCCCAGTGTTGGGGTCCCAGTGTTGGGGTCCCAGTGTTGGGGTCCCAGTGTTGGGGTCCCAGTGTTGGGGTCCCAGCATTGGGTCCAAACATTGGGGATAGGAAGCCTGTTAAGCTTATGCAGGTTACCCGAGGCTAACTATAGCACTAACCTTACCCAGGATGCAACCCCATAACACTTGACTAACTCCCAGGCACCTATTTACTGCTACATGAACAGAAGCATCAAGGGGTAAAGAAATGTGCCCAGTAATTGAACCAGGGGAAACCTTATATACACCAGTAGGGTCAAACATCTTTAAACTCAGGGAAATCAAAGGTGTAACCCCTCCCAGAATGAAAATGACAATTAATATGCATATAGATATTTCTGTTGAGTATTTAAGAGTCAGTTATTATGTTATCATGAACATTCCTTATTCCTTTCTTTAAAAAATAAAAAAAAATCATTTTGTCAACTCTATACTCATTTTGTCAGCTTATCACATTCTTGTTCAGCTGTGTCATCATTTGCTCAGATCTTTATTTCTTACATACACTCAACTATTTTTCACTTATATAAATACTAAGCTCAGGAGGCTCAATATATATACTGTATATAGTCAAGCCTCCTGAGCTTATTACATATTACATACAGTATTTGTTCAATACTCTAAGACATCAGATCTATTCCACTTTTAATCTTACTGTGACTATTTGTATAATTTGAATTTTCACTGTAATTGTTCCTATATTTAGTACAGCATTCTGGTTCTAGTTAATTGTTTGAATGTTAATTTTATTTACCCTTACTCTTTTTAATATTATAAAATTTTAATTTTGTCTACTCCATTTTCATTTAGCCAGTTTATATTGCATACGTAGTTCAGTTGCATTATTATCTGTTCAGATCTTCATTTTGTACTTACACTTAACTATTTTCATTTATTATTATATTATACTGTAATTATTATTATATTATAAGTGGTCAAGATTCGGGGGTGGTTGTACTCACCAAGCTCTAGCTCCTGGGCAAAGAACACTGGGTACAAAATTAGGGCCACCAAAATGGCGATCACTGCAAAGAAAGATTGGAAATCAATATTTATAATCCTTATTTTGCATTATATTTTGTGCATAACAATAAATTACAACAATAATACTGCAGCTTTAAAGTATTTGCTCATGTACATATATTATTTACTTTTAACTCCTGGACTATACAAGGGTTACATGAGGCATTATCTGTAAAGGCACAAAAACCAAATGTAGAATGTAATGAAACACTTTTGTAATTAACTCCAGTGGTTCCCTGAAGCTATCATGCTGAGACCCCTCCCATCTATCAAGTCACATCAGTTGCAGAGTTCTGTTTGACCTATTGAGGACCAGAGCCAGAACCTGGGCCCCCTCACAGAGGTGCATAGGGTAGGTGACACACTGCCACCCCAACTGGGAAAGCATCCAGAAAGTCAATGCACCATTACAGGCTACTGCTGGGTTCAAAATAACTGAAGTCTTGATAGCTACCAGCACTCTTGGTTGATACCTGGTTGATGGGGTTCTGGAAGTTCTTCTACTCCCCAAGCCTGGCCCGAGGCCAGGGTTGACTTGTGAAAGTTTGGTCTACTAGGCTGTTGCTTGCAGCGGCCCGCAGGCCCACATACCCATCGCAGCCCGGTTGGTCTGGCACTCCTTTGAGGAAATTATCTAGTTTCCTCTTGAAGATGTCCACTGTTGTTCCGGCAATATTTCTTATGCTCGCTGGGAGCATGTTGAACAACTGTGGACCTCTGACGTTTATACAGAAAAAACTAATTGTGCCTATGGCACCCCTGCTCTTCACTGGTTCTATTCTGCATTTTCTTCCATACCGTTCACTCCAATATGTTATTTTACTGTGCAGATTTGGGACCTGGCCCTCCAATATTTTCCATGTGTATATTATTTGATATCTCTCCCGTCGTCTTTCTAGGGAGTACATTCAGAGAGCTTTGAGACGATCCCAATAATTTAGATGCTTTATCTCGTTTATGTATCCCATATATGTTCTCTGTACTCCCTCTATTTCAGCAATCTCTCCTGCTCTGAATGGGGAAGTGAGTACTGAGCAGTACTCAAGACGGGACAACACAAGTGATTTGAAGAGTACAACCATTGTAATGGGATCCCTGGATTTGAAAGTTCTTGTAATCCATCCTATCATTTTCCTGGCTGCTGCAATATTTGCTTGGTTAGGGTCCCTAAAATTTAAGTCATCAGGCACCATTATTCCCAAATCCTTTACATGTTGCTTTCCTACCATGAGCAAATTTGATTGCGTTTTGTACCCTGTATTATGTTTAAGGTTCTCATTTTTACCGTATCTGAGTACCTGGAATTTATATCTCTGTTAAACATCATGTTATTTTCTGCTGCCCAGTCAAAAACTTTATTAATATCTGCTTGTAGTTTCTCAATATCTTCAGCAGAGGTAATTTTCATGCCAATTTTTGTGTCATCTGCAAAGGATGATACGAAGCTGTGCCTTGTATTTGAGTCTATATCTGATATGAGAATAAGGAAAAGCAGTGGTGCAAGGACTGTATCTTGAGATATTAAGCTTTTAACTGCGCTTGGACTCGATTTTATATGGTTGACTGTTACTCTCTCGTGTTCTGTTCGACATAAAACCGAGTATCCAGCATCCTACTTTACCAGTTACTCCCATTGATCTCATTTTGTGCTCTCTCTAAGTTTTTGTCTCAGTCTCTTAGTCTTAGTCTTTGTCTCCAAGTCTCATTTTATGACCTCTCTAAGCTATGTACTAACAAAGGATCAATTCTTTCATACTAGCTCAAACTTGTTAGTACAGTATTACCTGGAACATATCTGGAGCATAACTGGAAAGGGTTCTGGAGTTATTCTACTCCCCAAGCCTGGCCTAAGGCCATGCTCGACTTGTGATAACTTGGTCCAACAGGCTGTTGCTTGGAGTAGCCCTCAGGCCCACATATCCACTACAGCTTGGTTGGTCCGGCACTTCTTGCAAGAACTTATTTAAGTGCCTCTTAAATACTTCCACCTTTTGTTCCATCAATATTTCTAAGGCTTGCTGGGAGGGTGTTGAACAGCTGTGGACCTCTGATGTTCAGACAGTGCTCTCTGATTGTGCCTATGGAGCCTCTTACTCCTCACTGCTGCTTTTCTGCATTTCCTTCTGTGTCTTTCGCTCTGGTACGTTGTTATTGTACTGTGCAAATATGGGACCTGGCCTTCAAGTATCTTCCATGTACAGTATATATTATTTGATACCTTTCTTGTCTCCTTTTTAAAGAGTACATTTTGAGAGCTTTGAGATGGTCCCAATAATTTAGATGTTTTATAGCTTCTATGCATGCTGTATATGTTCTTTGTATTCCCTTTAATTCAGAGATCTCTCCCGCTCTGAAAGGGAAAGCGAGTACCGAGCAATACTCAAGATGGGACTGCACCAGTGATTTAAATAGTTTAACATTGCTGTGGAGTTTCTGGAATTGAACGTTCTCATAATCTATCTTATCATTTTCCTGGCCGCCACTATATTTGTTCAGTTATGTTCATTAAATGTCAGGTCGTCAAACATTATAATTCCCAGATCTTCTCCATGTTGCTTTCCTTCTATGAATAGGTCTGATTGTGTCCTGTACCCTGTGTTTTGTTTAAGTTCCTCGTTTCCACCATACCTCAGTACCTGGAACTTGTCACCGTTAAACATCATATTTTTAGATGCCCAATTGAAGACTTTATTTATATCTGCTTGCAGTTTTTCAGTGTCTTCTACTGAGGAAATTTTCATGCTGGATTTTTGTATCATCTGCAAAGGATGACACAAAGCTGTGACTAGTATTTTTGTCTATATCTGAGATAAGAATGAGAAATAGCAGTGGTGCAAGGACTGTGCCCTGGGGTGCAAAGGTTTTCACTGCAATTGGGATTTATCTTATTTGATGGACCATCACTCTCTGCATTCTATTTGACAGAAAGTTGAAAATGCAATGCCCCACTTTACCCATTATTATACAGGGAAGCCTGGAGCCCTGGAGCTTCCCCAACCCTGTCAAGCTAATTCTGGAGCAAATAGAAGAGCTACAACCACCAATTGACAACTTGGTTGAGGGCGGAAGGATGTCAATGGGCCACCGGGGCTCATAAAAAAAAAAAGGCATTTCATTACATTCAACACTGGGTTTCTAGAGGAGCCTCTTGTGGCTCCCTGAAGCTAACTAACCACAGAAAAGATAAGGAATGGACTTACCAGGGAGGAGAGACAGCAGATACGATGACAAAGAAAAGACAATAGGCAACAGCGACAGCCTAAGGTAAACCATAATTCAGAAGATGGAGAAATGATGACGTTTGGATCTGTCCTGGACCATTATCAAATCGTATGTGATAACAGCTCGATAATGGTCCAGGACAGAAACATCACTGATTTTCTCATCTCCTGATGTGTGGTTTGAGCATCATACCTTCTTGAATAAAAATAAATAAATAAATAAATAAAGATAAATAAATAAATCAAGATAAATAAATATTAACCCAGGATATATATAGCATTCAGTCGAAAATGTGGCATATTTACAATATCTTGAGGTTATCTTGAGATGATTTTGAGGCTTTTCAGTGTCCTCGCGGCCCGGTCCTTGACCAGGCCTCCACCCCCAGGAAGCAGCCCGTGACAGCTGACTAACACCCAGGTACCTATTTTCCTGCTAGGTAACAGGGGCATAGGGTGAAAGAAACTCTGCCCATTGTTTCTCGCCGGCGCCTGGGATCAAACCCAGGACCACAGGATCACAAGTCCAGAGTACTGTCCGCTCGGCCGACCGGCTCCCTTGGTCGTGTCACGAGTCCAAACATCATGAGTACAAAGGTAGACCACAGGCAGGTAAGACTTCATAAGACTGAAGATGACCTGAGATATGCACATCTTGATACAGGGAATGAAGAAGACAGGATCAATCCACTTAGTATCCATTGAGGCAGAATCTGTGGCATGAAGCCGCAGCGCAGTCATCACTAAACAACAAATGATGCACCCCAGCCGAACCTACCCAGTATCAATAACCAAAGGAACCCTCTGGAAGCCTGTGACTCATTCTTTGCCAGAAAAGAAGGAAACCAACTGCAAATGAACAAAATGCCCACCAGAACCAAAGGAGCCGAATCCCCATCTTTGGAGAAGAGCAAGAAGCTCCTCAACCTGACAACCAGAGATGAAGCCAACAAGAAATCTACCTTTGAAGAAGGAATTGTGGAGCAAAGGAGAGACCAAGAACCGAAAGGACGAGAGAAGAGCGAAGACATGGTCATGAGACTAGGACAACTCGGGAGATAACATGATCCAGAGACCAGGATAGCTCCGGAGCATGAGCGGACATTTGGTATAATTGACAGTTTACCAAATGCCCTGTTCATTTGGTAAAACAATGCACAGGACAGCTTGCAGAACAGCACCGAGGAAGATTGAATGCCAAATGCAAGAGTGGCTCCGCCAACACCAAGCAATAAGACGCGACAGCATTCAGTATGAGAAGCAACAAGAAAAAAAAATCACAACCCCTAAGAGAGACAGAAGACAATGAAGGGCAAGGAAGATGCAAAATGAACACCAGGCTACTTCATGCTGCCATCTTAAGGACAAATGCAAATGGGGCACCATTAACCCAGCCACCTGTTTGTCATTGAAATGGCAGAAGAGATGCATCAGAAAATTTAGATGCAAATAGCCAGAGAGGTTCGAACCAGTAAGTTACGTCATTGGACCAATCTCCTGAAAGAGGTGGAGCTGTGGAAAAATTCCTAGATTTGGATACCAGGAAAGAAAAGTCAGAAACTAGGCCACAGCCAACCACGAAGGAGCCAGAAGGACCACCTTCCCCTTGTAAGACTACAATCTGGCAAGGACCCGAGCAACAGCTGAACCAGGTAAAATAGGTAAATAAACCCCTACCTTGATCAGTCCATCCGAATTGCATCCACTGTGAGAGCCTTGTGATCGAGGAAGAGAGCCACATAGGAGGAAGGTGCTGATTCCACACCAATGTAAAGAGTTCC